AAAAAAAATCCCAAAAAAATTCCCAAAAAATCCCCAAAAAATCCCCAAAAATCCCAAAAAATCCCCAAAAATCCCAAAAAATCCCCAAAAATCCCAAAAAATCCCCAAAAATCCCAAAAAATCCCCAAAAATCCCAAAAAATCCCCAAAAATCCCAAAAAATCCCCAAAAATCCCAAAAAATCCCCAAAAATCCCAAAAAATCCCCAAAAAATCCCAAAAAATCCCAAAAATTCCCAAAAAAATCCCCAAAAAATCCCAAAAAATAAAAAATAAAAAAAAAATCAAAAAAATCCCAAAAAAATCCCCAAAAATCCCAAAAAATCCCCAAAAATCCCAAAGAAATCCCAATTTGGGGGGGGTTTTGGGATGGGGAATTCGGGAAGGGAGGGGAGGAAATCGGGGATTTTTGGGAATTCCCGGAATTCCGGGTTTTTTTCCCACAGAGCAGCTCCAGGAAGGAGAAGGAGCAGAGGCAGAACCCGATCCTGAAATACATCGGGAAACCCCGGAGCGGCTCCCAGAGCGGTGAGTGGCGCCGGAATTCCCGGAATTCCCGGAATTCCCGGGATTCTCCGGCCCCCCGGGGATTCCCAGGGGTTGGTTGGGGGGGAGGGGATTTCTGGGAATTTTTTGGGGAATTTTTTGGGAATTTTTTAGGGGATTTCTTGGGAATTTAATAGGGATTTTCCAGGGATTTTCCAGGGATTTTCCAGGGATTTTCCCAGGATTTAATTGGGATTTAATTGGGATTTTCCCGGGATTTTCCCAGAATTTAATTGGGATTTTCCAGGGATTTTTCCAGGGATTTTCTTGGGATTTTCCAAGGAATTTTCCCAGGATTTTCTCGGGATTTTCTTAGGATTTTCTTGGGATTTTCCCAGAATTTAATTGGGATTTTCCAGGGAATTTCCTGGGATTTTCTTGGGATTTTCTTAGGATTTTCTTGGGATTTTCCCAGGATTTAATTGGGATTTAATTGGGATTTTCCAGGGATTTTTCCAGGGATTTTTCCAGGGATTTTCTGGGGATTTTCCAGGGATTTTCCCAGGATTTAATTGGGATTTAATTGGGATTTTCCAGGGATTTTTCCAGGGATTTTCTTGGGATTTTCCAAGGAATTTTCCCAGGATTTTCTCGGGATTTTTCTAGGATTTTCTTGGGATTTTCCCAGGATTTAATTGGGATTTAATTGGGATTTTCCAGGGATTTTCCTGGGATTTAATTGGGATTTTCTTGGGATTTTCCCAGGATTTTCTCGGGATTTAATTGGGAATTTCCAGGGATTTTCCTGGGATTTAATTGGGATTTTCTTGGGATTTTCCCAGGATTTAATTGGGATTTAATTGGGAATTTCCAGGGATTTTCCTGGGATTTAATTGGGATTTTCCAGGGATTTTTCCAGGGATTTAATTGGGATTTAATTGGGAATTTCCAGGGATTTTCCTGGGATTTAATTGGGATTTTCCAGGGATTTTCCCAGGGTTTAATTGGGATTTTCCAGGGATTTTTCCAGGGTTTAATTGGGATTTTTCCAGGGATTTTTCCAGGGATTTTCCAGGGATTTTTCCAGGGATTTTCCCAGGATTTAATTGGGATTTAATTGGGATTTAATTGGGATTTAATTGGGATTTTTCCAGGGATTTTCTCGGGATTTTCCAAGGAATTTTCCCAGGATTTTCTTGGGCTTTAATTGGGATTTTCCAGGGATTTTTCCAGGGAATTTTCCAGGTTTTTTTCTTGGGCATTTCCAGGGATTTAACTGGGATTTTCCAGGGATTTTCCTGGGAATTCCCTGGGATTTGGGGGTTTTCTGGGAATTTTGGGAATTCTCCCGGGGTTTTCACAGGATTTTCCAGGGATTTTTTGGGGGGGGATTTTTCCAGGGATTTTCCTGGGAATTTTCCCGGGAATTTTGGAGCATCCCCCTGGAATTGGGGGGGAGGTTGGGAAATCCTGGAATGTTTTGGGATGGGAAAAAAATCCCTCAAAACCCCCAAAAAAATCCCCGAAATCCAAACCAAAAATCCCAAAAAAACCCCGGAAAATTCCATGGAAAAGGAAAAACCCTGGAATTTTCTCATCCCGGACGGAATTCCATCCCAAAATCCCCCCCTGGAGCAGCTCCAGCCTTCCCCAAATCCCCAAAATTCCCAGGAATCCCCCAAATTCCCCCGGAATTTTCGCTTTCCGCTTTCCCATCCCGGTTTTTTTTTCCCGTTCTCATCCCAAAATTCCCAAAAATTCCCATTTTTCCCCCGGGATTTTGGGAATTTTGACAGCTCCTCGTTGTTTTCCAGCATTTCCCGTCTCCCTGTCCCCCGGGGAAGGTAAAAAATTCCCAAATTTTTGGTGCTTTTCCATCGTTTTTCCATCGTTTTCTTTTCCCATTTTTTTTTCTTTTTGGTTCCCCGATGAAAATTCCCGGGAATTTTGGGATTTTGGGATGGGGAAAATCGGGATTTGGGGTCTGGAATTGGGGGGGATTTGGGAATTTGGGTCAGAAAGTTTGGAATTTCGGACGGGAAATTCAGGATTTAGGGCGGGAATTCGGGATTTTGGGTGGAAATTTGGGATTTGGGATGGGAAATTCGGGATTTGGGCTGGGAAATTCGGGATTTAGGGCAGGAATTTGGGATTTGGGTTGGGAAATCCTGGATTTAGGGTGGAAATCCGGGATTTAGGGCAGAAATTTGGGATTTAGGGTGGAAATCTGGGATTAAGGACGGGAAATTTGGGATTTAGGGCAGGAATTTGGGATTTGGGCTGGGAACTTCGGGATTTAGGGCAGAAATTTGGGATTTAGGGTGGAAATTTGGGATTGAGAAGGGGAAATCTGGGATTCAGGACAGGAAATTTGGGATTTAGGGCGGGAATTTGGGATTGAGGACGGGAAATTCGGGATTTTGGGTGGAAATTTGGGATTTTGAGTTGGGAATTCAAGATTTGGGCTGGGAAATTCGGGATTTGGGTCGGGAATTTGGGATTTGGGTTGGGAAATCCTGGATTTAGGGTGGAAATCTGGGATTAAGGACGGGAAATTCGGGATTTAGGGCGAGAATTTGGGATTGAGAAGGGGAAATCTGGGATTCAGGGCAGGAAATTTGGGATTCAGGGCAGGAAATTGGGATTTAGGGCGGGAATTCGGGATTTACGATGGGAAATTCAGGATTGAGGGTGGAAATCTGGGATTCAGGACAGGAAATTTGGGATTGAGGATGGGAAATCCGGGATTTTGGGTGGGAATTCGGGATTGAGGAGGGGAAATCCGGGATTGAGGGTGGGAATTTGGGATTGAGGAGGGGAAATCCGGGATTGAGGAGGGGAAATCCGGGATTTTGGGTGGGAATTCGGGATTGAGGAGGGGAAATCCGGGATTTTG